ACGACTGAACCCCCCCAAACCATCCACCCCGCCGTAATGGCCTCCATAGCCGTACAATCCCCCCAAACCGAATGAGCCTCCGAAACCGGCTCCGACCACAGGTGCTCCTACAGCTGCCACTTCGCTCTCTTGAGGGAAATTGCTGAGAATTGGTCCGGGGAGGGTCACGACAACTGGTGAGGGTCTGATCACCACTTCGGAGTCAGGGCACTGCCTAACGCATGGCTCGTTGAAGCTGCCAGTGACTGGACTGGGTCGGGCCACCCCGCATTCTGGATAGCACAGGCTGGAGAAAGTCATCTTTCTGGGGTGGAGGTAAACCTGAAACACACAACACGGGCTAGAGTAAAGAGAAGATACAAGGACTGGTGGAAGAAAGGTTTCAAAACTCGGTTACAATTGTAGTGAGGTCTACATGGGGCCCAAGAGAGAGAGGAGGATTGGACTTAGTCTCTATGTGTGTGGCCATGTATGTGTTCCTGTTTTCTGTTTCTATGCCTCTTGTCCACTCGCACTAAACTTCCCTCCCAACTGGCCCCTTTGATCCCCTCTCAATGACCTTGTCTGAAAAACACAAACTGGAATAAGTGTAACTATTTTTATCATGGACACCTGGGATTCTGGGTCCACTTTAGACATTTCTCAAAGAGAACATGGCTGGGCTCATGGTAATCACATCCTTTCATTTGAGGATTTAACCTCTGCGTGCAAACCAGTTGTGTCCGGTATCACAGTGAGACTCTTTGGTTTTCCAAACCTTGGGAGTCACCAAAACCTGCTGATGAATAAACAGAAACATAGGAATTGCTCGACTGGGTCACACCATTTGCCAGCTTAATCCATCGTTGTGTCTCCAATAGTGAGAAATAACAGCTGCTTCAGAATAAACTAGAAAACCACTGAATTGGCCCTTTCTGGACTAACCTGAGAAAATTTCTTCCTAATCCAACAAAGTGAAAAATGGCTAAATGATTTTCATAAGTTACTGAAAAGATTTAAATGCCCTAATTCTTCTACCAGTTAACAGGAAATATGTTTCTGAATTGCATATGTTGCTCTTAAAGCCCCTCCCTTAGCTTCAGATCATGAATCTACCAGTGCCTGCACCTGAATCACTACTCAAGATAGTTATGGAAGAACACCCTGATCCCGGATAAAAATAACAGTGCGTAAATTCAAAATTCCATTTTTAATGAAAAGAGTCCCTACTGTGATATCTCTGGGGTTAGAAAGAGATTGAGTGGAATTGGACTTACCCGGTTCACTGAGGAGATGAAGTCTGGAGAAGTGTTTAGAAGAGGTCTGAGTGGTGAGCACTTTTATACAGATTCTAGGACTGAGTGGAGGATCTGCGATGCTGTTTGTGGAGGAGGTCCTAATTAGTTACCAAACAGACTTGATTGCCTTGTTAAATCCTCCTTTTGATGGAGCTGTTTTCCTCAGCGTTGGTGATTATTGGATTAATCACAGATTCAGAGGGTGTGACATGCACATTGCACTCTTCAGCTGTCTTTCATCTTAAAGTTGTATGGGCCAACTGCATTTCTCGTGTCATTGCACTGACTTTATTGCGGCTGCAATGAGAATGAATATCAAGGTGATTCTGAGCGGCATCAGTAGCATAAGTGGGTGTCATGAAAGGAATCCAATTGGTCCTTTCAATTCATGCTGGTCGTGATTAGGGGCATTGGGCAGTTCATTCTAAATGTGCTAGGAAGCAGGGATCCATTTTTTTCCATTCTCACCACCTCCATTCTCAGCAGGTCAGATTCAATTTTCTTTGAAATCAATGGGAATCATTCAATTGCCTTCAGTATTTTTTTTGTCAGGACTTTAAGTCTGAAATTCACCCTTTGGCAGAGGGATAGTACCATGCCTATAGACAACTTTAGTGCAATTATAAAATTTCAAATTGGGTCTTAACAGGGTCTTAAGTGGAGCATGGGCCTTTCTGATGGCCGTCTGCTAAGGGGTGAGTCTTACCCTGTGGTAAATAAAACTTGACCTAACATTGGGCCTTCACTTGGGTCACCAATGCTGTCTCAAAGGGCTGCCTAGAGCAGATTTGCTCATGGGTCAGGGGATGGGATGGCAGAGAGAGAAAGGAAGCAGTGCTCTTTTACAGAAAGGTTTTGAGTTAAGTTTTGGAACCTCTACTCTACCAGAAACCATCTCTCCATCCTTGAGCAGCCAAGGAACTGAGATCTTGTAAGACAATGCAGCTGACTGAGCCCACCAGGAAACCCAGGAGATTTTAAAATGACATATTCTTGGTGAAGGAGGAGATGGCTGTGGGATGAGATTTGACATAATGTCTGACCCGACATAGGGCATGTTGCAGAAAACATTCCTGCCTGAACCAGAATGTTATTTAAAGTGTAAATGATATCCCCAAGGCTGGGTTCCATATCCAGGGAAGAGGGCAGAAGTGTCTTGCTTTGACTGAAGAACAGGAATACTTGTGGCACCTTTGAGACTAACAAATTTATTAGAGCATAAGCTTTCGTGGGCTACAGCCCACTTCTTCGGATGCATATAGAGTGGAACATATATTGTGGAGATATATATACACACATACAGAGAGCATGAACAGGTGGGAGTTGTCTTACCAAGTCTGAGAGGCCAATTAAGTAAGTGGAAAAAAAACTTTTGAAGTGATAATCAAGATAGCCCAGTACAGACAGTTTGATAAGAAGTGTGAGAATACAAGCTATCAGGAACAGTATCCCCGATAATGTCACAGCTAACCTGGTGGCTGAACTTTGTGACTTTGTTCTCACCCACAACTATTTCACATTTGGGGACAATATATACCTTCAAGTCAGCGGCACTGCTATGGATACCCGCATGGCCCCACAGTATGCCAACATTTTTATGGCTGACTTAGAACAACGCTTCCTTAGCTCTCGTT